CAGTGAAGGGCAAAAACAACAGCTCTATAGACGACGTAACAAAGAACAATCACGCACACACTCAGGAGGGAAAACAGAGGTAATATAGGGAAACTAATAAGCCTAATGAGTAACAGGTGTGAACAATACAGACAGAACTAGTGAGACACAGAAACATCGATCGGTGGCAGCTAGTACTCCGGTGACGATGACCGCCGAAGCCTGCCCGAACGAGGAGGAGGGGCAGCCTCGGCCATATCCGTGACACAGTATTTATGTGGTATCCTCTCTGTATGTTTCAGTTTCACATGAAAACAAGGTGGGACTGGATTCTACACTCAAGAGCCTTAGGTGTGCCGGGCCAAATTCAAATTGATGTAATTTACCGAAATAGTATGTTCAATCTTGCAATTTAGCAAAATGGTCTACTTCCAGAGAAAATATGTCAAACCAGCGTGCCTTCTTATTATGCTTTTCTTCCTTTAGTGAAACTCTGCAATTAGCTTGAAAACAATATCTCAGAGAGCAGTTTTGCGGCTCACCATGAAATTTCAGGTGGCATCGGGCCTACCAAAATATCCAGAGGGGGAGTTTGCATGCACTGTCACTTGAATTACACTGAAAGGTACTTATACTCTGCAACAAATGTGGGGTGAACTACCCCACCCTGGTCAACTCATTTGGCACGTTCCCACACAAGATTCCAAAGATTACATTTATACCAGAACCTCTACTAGGTAGCACCTGGCAAACCCGGAGCTTCAGCCTAGTATTAGAAATTGTCAAGCGTCCAAAATATCCCCAATGGTACCAGGTGGGACTGTGGGACGTAGAGTGCAGAGTTATTTTTGGAGTAGGCCTACTTGAACTGATTCAGGTTGGCTCTAATGCACTTTTGAAATAAGTGCTCTCTACTTTGGAACTGATGGATGGATGGCAGGATGGGAGCCTGTGCCAAATGGACATAGAGAGAGAAAGGCTTTATTGTTTTTCATTCTAGCCTCCCACGGTGGTGGCTTCTGGGTCTGTTCCATGGCTTACGCTGGACTATTCAGCTCTCTGGCTCCTGAGGTCTGACACACACATCTTAGCAGAGACCCAGGCTCTGTCCCAAATGGCACCCTATTCCCTTTCTAGTGCACTACCTTTGACCAGAGCCATGGGCCCTGGTCAGAAGTAGTGCATTATAAAGGGAATAGGGTGCCATTTAGCACACAGCCCCAGAGGTGCTCCAACACAGGGATTTCCTTGTGCTGCCACTCAGGGGCTTGCTATTGTTTAGAGTTATATTGGGTTCTAATTAGTCTGCTCTGCTAACCTTTATGAAGTGTGACAACCTATTATGCACTGAATCTGGTTACTTTTCAAGATGACACATCTTTTGACAATAGTATATCATGGTATCACTATACATAATCGTTTCTAACGGTGTCATAACCATGTAGTGACTGCATTATTCACAGACACAGGTCTCAGTCCACTGAAGAACAAATTGATATAGGCTGCCTTGTGTCTTCATAAAACCTTCTTGTATTTAGTGTTACAGAATTGACATACATGCAAGGACAATCCTCCAATGAGTATTCCACTACACAGATGTCGTTCTCATGACAAAGTATGCAAATCCACAAATCGAGCTGCCAACATGAAGCCTCATAAATGTCAGGATTAAATATATATGAGCAAATGAGAAAACAATCTCAGCAGACGAAAACCACTATCCTCTGATTAAAGCATATGGACTATAACACACAAACACACGCTCACACACACGCACACACACACACACACACACACATATACACACACACACACACACACACACACACACGCTTGCACATGATGGAGAAAAACTCCCTTTTTACTCCCTGTTCACCCATGACTGCGAGGCCACGCACGTCTCCAACATCATCATTAAGTTTGCCGACAACACAACAGTGGTAAGCCTGATCACCGACAACGATGAGACAGCCTATAGGGAGGAGGTCAGAGACCTGGCCATGTGGTGCCAGGATAACAACCTCTCCCTCAACGTGACCAAGACAAAGGAGATGATTGTGGGCTACAGGAAAAAAAAGGGGACTGAGCACGCCCCCATTCTCATCGACGGGGCTGTAGTGGAACAGGTTGAGAGCTTCAAGTTCCTTGGTGTCCACATCACCAACAAACTATCATGGTCCAAACACACCAAGACAGTCGTGAAGAGGGCACGACAAAGCCTATTCCCCCTCAGGAGACTGAAAAGATTTGGCATGGGTCCTCAGATCCTCAAAAAATACAGCTGCACCATCGAGAGCATCCTGACTGGTTGCATCACCGCCTGGTATGGCAACTGCTTGGCCTCCGACCGCAAGGCACTAAAAAGGGTAGTGCGTACGGCCCAGTACATCACTGGGGCCAAGCTTCCTGCCATCCAGGACCTCTATACCAGGCGGTGTTAGAGGAAGGCCCTCAAAATTGTCAAAGACTCCAGCCACCCTAGTCATAGACTGTTCTCTCTGCTACCACATGGCAAGTGGTACTGGAGTGCCAAGTCTAGGTCCAAAAGACTTCTCAACAGCTTCTACCCCCAAGCCATAAGACTCCTGCACTGCCCCCCCACCCCATCTTTTTATGCTGCTGCTACTCTGTTAATTATTTATGCATAGTCACTTTAACTCTACCACATGTACATATTACTTCAACTACCTCAACTAGCCGGTGCCCCCACACATTGACTCTGCACCGGTACCCCCCTGTATATATAGCCTCCCTACAGTTATTTTATTTTACTTCTGCTCTTTTTTTCTCAACACTTTTTTTGTTGTTGTTTTATTTTACTTTTTTATTAAAAATAAATGAACTGCTGGTTAAGGGCTGTAAGTAAGAATTTCACGGTAATGTCTGCACCTGTTGTATTCGGCACATGTGGCCAATAAAATTTGATTTGATTTGATTTGATTTGAGAGTGATGGTGTGCTGCCTCAGATGGCCTGGCCTCCACAATCCCCAGACCTCAACCAAATTGAGATGTTTGGGATGAGTCTGACCGCAGAGTGAATGAAAAACAGCCAACAAGTGCTCAGCATATGTGGGAACTCCTTCAAGACTGTTGGAAAAGCATTCCAGGTGAAGCTGGTTGAGAGAATGACAAGAGTGTGCAAAGCTGTCATCAAGGCAAAGGGTGGCTATTTGAAGAATCTCAAATATAAAATATATTTAGATTTGTTTAACACTATTTTGGTTACTACATGATTCCATATGTGTTATTTCATAGTTTTGATGTCTTCACTATTATTCTACAATGTAAAAAATAGTAAAAAATAAAGAAAAACCCTTGAATGAGTAGGTGTGTCCAACTGTTACTGTATATGTATATATATATATATATATATATATATATATATAGATAGATTTATATTCCAGACTTCATTTCTTTCTTTTTACTTTTTGAATTCTGTGCGTATTGTTTTTGTATTGTTAGGTATTATTACTACACTGTTGGAGCTAGAAACATGAGCATTTCGCTGCACCTGTTATAACATCTGCAAACCTGTATACGCGACCAATAAACTTTGATTTGATGCCATTTCTACCCCTTACACCGACAGCGTTATTGCGTTTTGGTACACCAGAAGTACATTCATTTCCAACGAAACTCTGCATTTGCCTTGCAGCATTGCGTTGCAGAGGCAGTTGCAGTGCGTTCTGTGTGGTGCATCGGTTGGATTTATCGAATGTATGCATCAAATTGTATGCATAGACTGAACAGAAAGTAGCAAAATGAGAATGTTGAACTTTTGTTTGACTGCAGAATTCCTTTGCATTTTGTATTCCTTTATTTGCAGAGTAGCATAAATATTATTTATTCGATGACATCTACAATTTTATTGTGACAGCCTATAATATAATTTCCCTCCAAAATGCATAGTTTTGGGGGGAATTACAATACTAAATAGTCAAGATAGTAGAGAGTAGGTGTCACGGAATCAGCCGAGGCTACTCCTCCTCCTTGCTCGGGCAGGCTTCGGCGTTCGTCGTCCCCGGAGTACTAGCTGCCACCGATCTATGTTTCTGTGTTTGACTTGTTTTGTCTTGATTGTGTACACCTGTTTCCTATTATGTTGTATTGTATTCCCTATTTAACCCTCTGTCGTTCATTGTGTGTTGTGTGTGATTGTTCTCGTCATTTTCGGCAGTTGCTAGTGTGCGGGTATTCCCCTCCCTGTTTGGAGGTTGTTTTGTATACTGGTTACTTTGTTAGTAAAGTATCATTTCCAGTAGCTCGGTGTCCTGCGTTTGACTTCGCCTACCGCATTCACGTCGCAATCTGACAGAATCACACACCTCTCATGGAGTCAGCAGGAGAGGCGGTGCCAGCTGGATCTATGGAGGCACACGTTGAACACCAAGCGGCCATGATCCAGGCTCTCGGCACCACCATGAAACGGGTGGTGAACACCATTAAGCGATGGGAAAGAGGGGGTCTACCTATACCCCCTCCAACGATACCACCACCATCGGCGATGCCCATCGTTTCACCTCCGGGGTCCAGTGGGATTCGGCTCTCGCTCCCGAGGGCTTATGATGGCACAGCGGCCGGGTGCCAGGGTTTCCTACTCCAGGTTGAACTCTACCTAGCAACCATTCACCCGGCGCCCTCGGGATACGAGAGCGTGTCCACCCTCATCTCCTGTCTGTCCGGCAAGGAGGTTGTTTTGTATACTGGTTACTTTGTTAGTAAAGTATCGTTTCCAGTAGCTCGGTGTCCTGCGTTTGACTTCGCCTACCGCATTCACGTCGCAATCTGACAGTAGGATCTTTCAACAATGAGACCAACATTGAGGAAGGTGGTCTTGATTGCGCTGTTGGACCGGGACCAGCCCCGCCGAAAGCGCAGGTCTGTGTCAGTCCAGGGATGGTTGAAGTCCCGAAAGCAGGCAGGGGAGTTCCACCGTCTCATTCAAGAGCTTTGACTGTTTGGATAGGAATTCTGAGGCTACTTTCGTCTGGACCGAAGCCAGTTCGATCACCTGCACCAGATGGTTGGAGCCAGGATCGCCAGGATGGATACCAACTACCGGGAGTCCATCAGCCTAGTTGAACGCCTGGCGATTTGTCTCCAGTCAGCTAAATTCAAGTGAATTTTTTAAGCCTTTGATACCGTTTTGATTGATATTAGATATATTTTATGTAAAACCTAGCTAGCTAAAGGGCTCTCTAGTTAATAGTCCCTATGTGATGTACTTTTACAGAATGTTCATTAGGCCTATTACTCTTCCCAAAGTTGGATTAAAATCATTTTTTTATGATTAAATATTACCAAATGAAAATACAGTTGGGGTGCCTTCTGCCCTGATGAAGGTAGGCTAGTCTTCTCCAGGAACCCTTGTTGTTCAAGACAGTTCCAGTCATTCATTACATTCTTATTGGAATCATGAACACTCTTAGGAAAATGGGTTCTTCGGCTGTCCCTATAGGATAGGATTTTTGGGGAAAAGGTTCTAGATGGAATCCAATAGGATTCTACCTGGAACCAAAGGGTTCTACCTGGAACCAAAAAGGGTTCTTCAAAGGGTTCTTCAACGGGGACAGCTGGAGAACCCTTTTAGGTTCTAGATAGCACCTTTTTTTCTAAGAGTGTAGAATTGTCCTGGGATAGAGTTGATTTGTACAGTCATAGACTGAATTGTTACAAGGCATTGTTAATGATGGTTGATGAATATTACAATATAATTAGTAGAGCATAATAAACAATAGTGAGGTAGCTATATGAGTAGATAGAATATGTGGGTGGAATTCAAGTTACACACAATATTGATACTTATTTTGAATTATATTTCAGATTCCTGGCGACAGGGGACTCCTACAGGACCATCGGATTCACCTTCCGAGTTGGACGGTCCACGGTGGCAGACATTGTCCCCTCTGTGGCACAAGCCATGTGGGGCTGTCTGGTCGGCGAATACATGCCTGACCCCAAGGAGGAATACTGGACTGCCATCACTTCTGAGTTCCTGGAGAGGTGGGATTTCCACAACTGTTTGGGATCATTGTCATGCTGAAAGACCCAGCCACGTTTCATCTTCAATGCACTTGCTGATGGAAGGAGGTTTTCACTCAAAATCTCACGATAAACATGGCCCCATTCTTTCCTTTACACGGATCAGTCGTCCTGGTCCCTTTGCAGAAAAACAGCCCCAAAGCATGATGTTTCCACCCCCATGCTTCACAGTAGGAATGGTGTTCTTTGGATGCAACTCAGCATTCTTTGTCCTCCAAACACGACGAGTTGAGTTTTTACCAAAAAGTTATATTTTGGTTTCATCTGACCATATGACATTCTCCCAATCCTCTTCTGGATCATCCAAATGAACTCTATCAAACTTCAGACGGGCCTGGACATGTACTGGCTTAAGCAGGGGGACACGTCTGGCACTGCAGGATTTGAGTCCCTGGCGGCGTAGTGTGTTACTGATGGTAGGCTTTGTTACTTTGGTCCCAGCTCTCTGCAGGTCATTCACTAGGTCCCCCCGTGTGGTTCTGGGATTTTTGCTCACCGTTCTTGTGATCATTTTGACCCCACGGGGTGAGATCTTGCGTGGAGCCCCAGATCGAGGGAGATTATCAGTAGTCTTGTATGTCTTCCATTTCCTAATAATTGCTCCCACAGTTGATTTCTTCAAACCAAGCTGCTTACCTATTGCAGATTCAGTCTTCCCAGCCTGGTGCAGGTCTACAATTTTGTTTCTGGTGTCCTTTGACAGCTCTTTGGTCTTGGCCATAGTGGAGTTTGGAGTGTGACTGTTTGAGGTTGTGGACAGGTGTCTTTTATACTGATAACAAGTTCAAACAGGTGCCATTAATACAGGTAACGAGTGGAGGACAGAGGAGCCTCTTAAAGAAGAAGTTACAGGTCTGTGAGAGCCAGAAATCTTGCTTGTTTGTAGGTCTTTGTCTGTCATAGTTGACGTGTACCTATGATGAAAATTACAGGCCTCTCTCATCTTTTTATGTGGGAGAACTTGCACAATTGGTGGCTGACTAATTACTTTTTTTCCCCACTGTATGTATCGGAGAGTGCTTGGTCTCAGCCCCCTCAAATGTCGATGCCTGCGTGAAGGCCACACGTGTTCTCCACAACAACCTGCGGAGGGCATCCCAGGAGCTGCTACGGATGGAGATGGGCACGCCAAATGGTCACCTACCTGATGTCACCAGGGCAGGTGCCAACAACCCCCCCCAGACAGGCACTCCAGGTGAGGGAGAAACTGACCACCTACTTCTCATTGCCAGCAGGTGAAGTCTCATGGCAGCATGCCGTGGAGTGAAACGGCTCTTTTAAGAGCCCCCTAACACAAAGGTTATTTTAAGAGCCATGAAAGAGCATTTTTTCCTCCGATTATTTCATGTCTCATTGTCTCTCTTCATTTGGAAGTATTACTGTAAAAACTAATTTCACTGATGTGGGAATAGATTAACTACATAGGCCTGAACAGAATACACTATTCATTTCTAACGGGGCTATGTTCAAAAGGATATTTGACAGATAATATAGACAATATAGTTGCAACTCTCCAATGGAATGGATCGGGCTATATTCAATTAACAATGTTATTATTTATGTTATTAGGCCTATTTCTAGTCACTGTGTTTATTTACAACAGTATATGGAGTTATATTAAGTGACATTTGGGAGTAAAGACCACACCTTAACCCCTTCCCTCTCCCATTAACATCAGTATTATACACACCTGGCATGGTACATCAGGTGCACAGGAGCTCTGATTAAGGTTATACGAAAAACAATTAGTATGATAACAATGGGAAAGGGTAACCTAGGGTCCATACAAATAGTACAGTTTTCCACCATCTTCACTGGTCTGACAACAAAATGCAGGTGGGGAAAAAACGAATTAGGAAGAGAATAGGTTTTTACCTTCATCTTGTCTTAGATCTGCAAAGGTGTAGGGAGGAAATAAGGAGATTAAGTTTAAATGAGATACTAATAAACAAATGAAACGACTGACTATGGAAAATATGGAATTTAATAAGTATTCAAGTACAGGAAAGAACATGACAGGTATGTGTGTTATAAAAATGTTACAAAAAATTAAAGAGTATTGGAAGAGGTGTGTGTGTGTGTGTGTGTGCATGTATATGCGTGTAAAAAAAATAAAAATACAACATTTAATGTGTAGCTAAACACACAAATCACCTGTACTCTGTAAGAGAACAACAAGAGTGTGTCTTTTTGGCACAACTGCAGACAGATACAGGGACTACTCATAAAGCCTAGACGTAGTAGGGGAACTTCAGACATGGCCATGAAGAGAGAGAGGACAGGGCAGCGGAGATCTGAGGTACAGAGAGGAGTGGAGAGGTGTGTGTGTGTGTGTCTGAAAAAAATAAAAGTGAATGTGTAGCCACAATACAGGTGAACACAAATTTCACCTTTAGTCTTGCATTTGAATTCTCCGGTGTGTGAGTTTCAATTCAGTCAATTTTCATGCACTCTATGTACAACTAATAATGAATGCTATCCTAAGTATTGAGTAACTATTTACTTTATGAATTCCATTAATTTTATACTCAAAAAGCCTAATAACAAGGACGTAGTACGCGGAATAAGGACAGTTGGAAAATCTCAAATGAGGACAGTTGGAAAATCTCAAATGAGGACAGTTGGAAAATCTCAATTGCGTTTTCCTTGATTCCTCGTGTCCTCTCTCCTCACCTCTGGCTCAAACCCCATTGGAGGAGAAGGTCAGAGTGAAGGAACCTGATCTTCTCCTCCAATGAGCTTTGAGAAGGAGGTGAGGAGAGAGGACATGATGAGTTAACCAACAGTTAAATTTCCATGGCTGTAGTGAATGCACTCATGCCCTAGGCTGGCCTGAAGCTGCTGACCTCAGTACTCTTCTGTCTCTTTCTCTGCCCTTACTCTGCTCTCTGTCACAGTCTCCTTGAGTCTCTCTCATTCAGCTACCAGTTCTTCTACAAGACTAAACATGATATTAGCCATCAACTAGCATAACTACAGTGGAATCTCACTCTACTCCACTCAACACCAATCTTCAGGTGTATAACTGGCAACTCACATCTCATCTGAGCATGACTGCGTCCCGCTGTCAGCATGATCCAGGCGTACCCTGCCGCTGCCTGAGCGCTGCGACCTCTCACGCCGACTCGTCACGCGCTCATCACGCTCTCTCATCACCATCTCCGCACCATGTGCATCACCTCTCTCCTCTCTCTCTCCTCACTCACTCACTCACTCCTCTCTCCTCCCTCACTCACTCACTCCTCACTCACTCTCATCTCCCTCACTCACTCACACACAACACACACACACACACACACACACACAAACACTTAATTGGCTAGGTTAGCTAGCTAGCCACATCCAGAACAAGCTCACTACTAAACTGACCTCGCAATCCTACTATCGTGGACACTTGTCTCCAAGCAGCATTTTTTGCTTTTATGTCCCTGTAGCTGTCAGCAGTTGTGTCAAAAAGACACGGTTTTGAAGATACTGCGAAAATAATTCTCTCCTCCATGTGTCCAACAACCGCATGCGACCATCTGCAACATGTGTGTAGATACCTGCATTCAGTATAGTTGCATAGCTGTGCAAAATGTTATGCAACATTGATGCAATGACACTGCCGGCGTGATCAAGGCGTTACTGTGCATCTGCAGTCTAAGTCACCTTTAAGGAGGTTATTGTAACGTAATGGAATAAAAAATACACCCAGAGCCTAAAAAGCCTAAAAGGAGCATTGCTGTACACTACAGATAGCCCATTTTCACCATTGGCATTTTGCTTCTTTGTTTGTGCACAGTGCATGAAGACTGGGGTATTTACAGTAATTTCTCTTGGCAGGTTTCCCACACTGACAGGTCTGCTGCGAGACTCGCCTGGGAATCTCATGAATATTTTTAAGGCTATTAAACCAGTTTTAAAGATGCTGCTTTGCATGCCTGCAGTCTAATCATTACAATGTAAATTAGACCGGTGGGACTGTAAATAAGGAGTGGGTGAGAAAATGTGGCGGCCATTTCTTTTCTCGGATACTCGTTGCTTCTGTACTGGACTGACTATGTGGTTCTTTAACATACAGTACATGTACTTTGTTGAGGCATATGGGAAAAGGTTCTTCAAAACTGGATGCAGAAATTAATTCAAACTTCATTAGAGGATCAAATAAGGAACTCAAGGTGAGATGACTTATTTTCTATTTGGAATATCTGACTGCTTAATTGGCCCTTCAAAAGCCCCAAGAACTATACTGTACAGATATACAATATGGACTCACTATTTAGTGTAATTATACCACTATGTTCAGTACCTCTGATTTATTGTTTCTTTATATGAATTATTAATTCATTTGTAATTAGTTATCATGTCTGATACATATCTCTTCCAGGCTATATTTCAATATCCAATTATAGCAATGACAACTACACCATCTTCAATATGAACATGTCAGCACAAAACTCACGCATTTCCACACTGAAACGAGAGCCAAGGATACAGCCTACCAGAGCAGATCAAAACCCTATTTCACTCCGTTCGTTAATCTGGGAACAAAATGAAAATGTACAATCTGTACGAGAGCTGAAATGAGACACATCAGAGAAAGGTGTCATTTCCCGCTGCAGTGATTCTGTGATGACGCTCTGCCTGAGGTGGGCTGTGAAGCGTGACTTACTGGAGCTTTGTGACCCGAACAGTTCACCCTGATAAACCGTCTGGGGCTGCAGCGCTGCACCATACACATCCACACACTCTGGGAAGACAGGGAACTGAAACGTGAGCATGTTGCCTCATGTTGCCTTTCTGCAACTCCATCAATCACCAGTAAACCAACATCATTGCACATGAATCAAGCTTTGTGAAATGATTTTGTTTAGAACGCAGAGTTGTTTGTGATGACGCGGAGATTACTTTGGGCGCTGGTTATTACACTTTGGAGCACATTTGGTGAGATTCACAATTACATTAATTTATTATTATAGCAGACAGTACCTTTATCCAAGATTACAAATTGTGCTTCACCCTTAGCCAGTGGGATAACACTTTACAGACATATAATTGATTTTGTGTTCGTATTGGGGGGGAGTAACAGATACTTTCAACTACCCAGGTGTTCTTAAGTGGTGGGGTTTCAAATTCTCCGGAAGTGGTGATGACAAACGCATTCTGGTTTGAGGGAGTTGTTCACTTGTGGACTACTATTTACTACAAGTGGTAGCTTTATTTATATTATAGATCTTACAATTACCATTTAATAAAGTTATGGGCCGATAACTCTCTCTGCTTATTTTCAAACATTTCCCTATCATTTATGGAGAGGACGTGATATCAGCAGTGATGTAGCTCTCAGTCAGATTGCACCTGAATTTACCCCCTAGAAGTCTAGTGTCAACCATACTGAGATGGTGTATGGGGTGTTACATGTCGTGTGGTGTGTTTAGAAAAGGGTTCAGAATGCACAAACGTCATCTTGTTTTGTAACTGGTGGTGTATATATAGTTTTATTGCAATCTTAGCAGATGCATTTTGATATCACTATTTAGTAAGCTTATAGGTCGATAACTAGCCCTCTACTGGTAATCATATGTTACCTTGAATGCTCTTGTTAATATTTCACATTGTGAAGTTATAAAGATAAATTGTAGATAAAAGATCACCTGGGATAAAGATAATTAACTTAGCAAGAAATCTAGTCGATGGTCAACTCTTCAAAGAGATACAGTATCTTAATAGATTTTCAGGTCCATATTTTGTAATGACTCCTTTCATGTTTTTATCTTTGCTTTTCATATTTTATTAGTCTTTGAAAAGAGAAATGTTGCACAGATCACAATATAAATTCTGACCCTTATTGACTCTACTCTCTCATATTAACTATTATCTAACATTTACATAACAACATCATTTAGCAGATGCTCTTATCCAGAGCGACTTAGAAATTGGTGCATTCACCTTATGATAGCAAGTGGGACAACCACTTTTTTTCTTCTATTTTTTATGGGGGGATGGGGGAGGGGTTGGTAGAAGGATTGCTTTATACTATTCCAGGTATTCCTTAAAGAGGTAGGGATTCAAGTGTCTCCAGAAGGTGGTGAGTGACTCCGCTGTGACTCCGCTGTCCTGGCGTCGTGGGGGAGCTTGTTCCACCATTGGGGTGCCAGAGCAGCAAATAGCTTTGACTGGGCTGAGCGGGAACTGTGCTTCTGTAGAGGTAGGGGAGCTAGCAGGCCAGAGGTGGATGAACATAGTGCCCTCGTTTG